TTCAATAGTACAGCTATAGGGGCAAATAAGTCAGTAGGTTGCAAGAGGATCAGCACTAACTGAACATGGAGAAATCACATTTGTAATGATATGATAATGCTAAAGTCAGGTCAACAAGAATTTATTGAGCATTTACTATGTGCCAGACACGAAGCTAAGCAGCTGAGATACAAAGAAAAGCAAAAATCATTTCCTGCCATTAAGGAACTCATAATCTAATGGGGAAGACAACATGCAAACAAATAGGTAGAATAAAATAAGTAGAATAGGTAGAATAAAGTATAGGTAAAACAGATGGAGGTTTTACATATGTAATGTTTCCCTGGATAATGTGGGCCTCAAATGTATGTATGTGTATGTATGTGTATATGTATATGTTTATATGCATATGTATATGCATATCTGTATATGCCTATATACAAATTTAAAATTTTGCATCTGCGTATATATGTATATATATACAAATACATATACATATAAATGCAAACATCGTATATCATGTTTGAGTATGTTATTATTAAGTAATTAAGTATTATCATTAAGTATGCTTGTTATTTTTTATGTTGTTTTTGCTTTTATATTTGTATTATGTCTTTATTGTAGTTGCATTTGTTTGCATTGGTTTTTTAATTTTTTTTTAATTTTTAGGCAATTGGGGTTAAGTGACTTGCCCAGGGTCACACAGTGCATTAGTTTCTGCTAGCTCCACACTGAGCACAGTGCCTAGGACATAGTAGGTGCTTAATAAATGTTTATTGACTGACTATTAGCTATATGTTATAGTTTTGTCATTTTACTAAAAATATTGTCTAATAATACTTTTGCTGTTGTTCAGTCACTGCAAGTAAGGGGTACCCTTGATAAGAAGGGTGCTAGGAAGGCTGTGGGAGTTGTTGGAATGTTGTGGGAGACTTAACCTCGGAGGAGTGGGAGGGTCAGTGTGCAGTGGCAGAAGTGGCAGCATCCCAGATCAGTCCAGAGACATGGTGGTGATGGAGCAAGCAGCAGCAACCTGAGAGGAACTAATCAAGAAGCAGCAGCCCCCAGAGATAACCCCTCCTTCCCCCTCCCTAACCCACCGGCTCTCCTGAGAAGAAGAGGTTACTGCAGGGGGTGGGGGAGTAGAGCTGGCAATTCAGGTTTTTGTGTGGCAGCCTGGTTAAGAAATGTGTGTCTCCTGCATTGTAAGAAAAAATACAGACAAGCTACTGTCAGTGGAAGCCTGGCTGCAAGAGGCTCAGGCTGATGTATCCTAGGAACAGGAGGAAAGGGCGGCATGTGAAAAAGCCCGAGGATTATTAGACACTGAGACCCAAATTCTTAGAACGTGGATGTTTATTATTCCCTCTGCTCAAGAGGCAGAGTTACCTGATGAGCCAGAGAATGAGCCTGGATTTATAGAAGAGAAAGTGGAGAAGTTCCTTTTAAACTTCTCTGCACTAAAAGAGAAGCCTAGAGTACAGGAAAGGGTTAAAGCTAAGCAGCCACCAGAGACAGAGGAGGAGGACTGACCTGAGAAGTTTCTTTTGAACTTCTCTGAGCCAAGGCCATGACCAGGTTGGAAAAGCCCCTCCTTCTGTGAAGCTGGGGGGAGGATGAGCTGTATCAGAGTTAGGGCAGTGCGGTCCAGAGACAAGAGCCTGGAGCAGGACCCCCCAGAGCAGAATCAGGGAGCTGAGGTAGGGCAAAGCAGCCCCTCCCCCAGGGAGGCAAGCCCTTCACCATGAGCAGGGAGCCATGGAAATTGGGACTCAGCCCCAGGTCAAGATGAAAACTTTTTGGGAAGACAGGAGCACTGAGCATGCTTTCCTATTGTTTCCCTCAGGGATAGGTTGGGACCCAGGGATAGTTTGGGACCCAGGGATGGAGTTGTCCACAATGGCATGGAGAAGTGCCACAGTCCCTGAGGACCCACTCTGTTGGCTTTGTTGTCCAGCTGCCCCCCAGACCTTGTGACTGGAGCTGGAGTGGTGCTTGAACTCACACTGTTTGGGTCATTCAAGCGTTCGAGCACCTGGGAGCACCAGGTGGGAGCTTGCCATGGCAGTGTCCCAAGAGGACTTTCAGGAAGAGGATGGACCCTCCACTTTGACTGAGGGAATTGTAACCTATTGTGGCCTAGGGATGGACTGTGCTGTGTTAAGGGAAGCCCCTGTCCAGTGAGGAGGAGCTGACTGCTCTCCCCAAAGACACTGGTCCCTGAAGAATGTATAAGGGGGAGAATGTGTGCTATGTTACATACTGTGTACCATGTTACATACTGAATGCTATGTCTGTTTTAGGACTTGTGGCCATACTTCTTAGGGAAAAGGCAATTACTTTCTTGTCTGCTTTAGGCTGTGTGGCTGCTCTGGTGGTATGTCATTGTAGAATTTGCTGTGTTTGTGTACACTTGATGCCTGACACAATGTTTATGTTACTGGTATTGTTGCAGTTTATATTGTTGTTATGGATTATGGATGTTGTCCTTTAGTTTCTTGGCTCAAGGGCTCACATCTCCACAGATTGTAAGGGCCAAGGTGTCACCTGTATAGACTGTAAGGACCAAGGTGTCCCCCGTTTAGATTGTAAGGCCAGAATCCTAGGGGGTGGAGTGTAAGTAAGGAGAATTTTGTTATTCTTTTTTAGATAACAGTTTCTAGGATCCATGGCCAAAACAGTTTCTACTGCGACTGTGCAGTAAGATACAGGGATGACATAGCGCAATATTTACTATGATTGGACTATGCTAAGTTATGATAATGTTGCTAAAGTTAACCTGTGAGTTTATTGTTGGCAAATTGCCTTTTTTGTGTGCTTCTCTATAAATCAAGACAGCACTGGTCAGTGAGTGGGGATTTGGGGAATGCACAGGGAAATGTGTGTGTATCTGCCTCAACCAGACTCCATTGAGGCTTAGGGGAACTTAGGGGAACTTAGGGGAGTGCACAAGCTGGAAATGTTGTGCGTGTCTCAACTGGCCATATCGAGATGAAGGGTGATTGCCCTCCTTCTCGCCCACACCTGTCAGAAAGTGTGATTAGAAGATGCTGTAGGAGTTGGTGCTCCTTTTATCAGCAACCCTCTCGAGAAGACTAGACTAGAATAAAGTAAGCTTATTTAACCCTTTATTATGTCCACATTCCTGTCTTCCTATGTGCCCAGATCAAGAGTGAACCTGTAAGAGGCTGGAGTCCTAAAACTCCACTGGCTTCTGTGATATAGTCATGTCTGGCTGTTTATTACCCTGTGGACCATATTGTTCATGGGGTTTTCTTAGCAAGAGTTCTGGAGTGGTTTGCCATTTCCTTTCCAAAGAATTAAGGCAAACAGAGTCTAAGTGACTTGTACAAAAGTCACACAGCTAGTAAGTGTTTGAAGCCAGATTTAAACTCAGGTCTTCCTGACTCCAGGCCTAGAGCTCTTTTCACTAAACCATCCAGCTGCTCCATAATTAGACTACCATGATTTTTTATTGCTATGCATACTTGCTTTTCTTGTGTGGAAATGCATGTATTCTGCGGAAAGGGCTTATAATGTATTCAACAGGTAATTTAGACTTGTTCTAGACATTTTCATACTATTATCACACTCAAAAGTTAGGTTTTCTTCCCTTGTTGTTTTACCATGCTGTTAACTCATATGGATTTTACCAACTCAGATAATTCTCACATTTTAAATATTTTTTTAACTTTTAACTATTTTTTATTTGTGCTCTCATTTCATATATATATATATATATATATACATACACACACATACATATCTATATATACACATATATGTATATATATAATGTGTATATGTGTGTATGTATACATATACATATATTTGTATATGTGTATATATATTTGTATGTGTGTGTGTGTGTATATATGTGTGTGTGTGTATATATATACATATATATATATATATATGTATGTATGTATGTATGTATATATCACATTCATTCCCATACATATTATTTCTCCATTCGACCCCAGGTAATAATCTCTTGGGTTTTTTGTTTTTTAAGTGTGTATTTTTTTTAATTTATTTTAAAAGGAAGGGAAAAAAACAATTCAGCAAAACAGACACATTTACCCTAAGTAATGTTATATTCAGTATTTCACACCCATAGATTCCCATCTCTAGAATGAAAGGAATTTTAACTCTTTTCCCAGATGAAGATTTGTGACACTAACATTGTCAAACAGCTAATGTGGAATTCAGTCAGTTCCTTATCCTGAACAAATCACAGGAAAAAAAATTGTGTGGCAATTATTCTCTAGGTCTAATCTCTGGGTTGAGGTTATGCCTTCATAAATATTCAAAACATATTCTGCACAGTGTGTGTTTATTAAAATGCTTACACATTTGCTTTCCCTCTGATTGGCTTTCTACTATCTTACTGTGATTATTATCATAGCTGCTAAGGAGATTATTAAATTTTTTTGTTCATACTACTGACTTCATTGGTATACAGAACTCAGCAGTTGAGTGCCTGTTCTTCTATTTATACTATATAGAAAATGGGCTGGAGCACCAAGATCTCAAATGACTTGTTCATTCATTATATATTAGAGCTAGGACTTAAACTCAAGTATTCTTTTTTTTTGTTTTGTTTTGTTTTGAGGCAATTGGGGTTAAGTGACTTGCCCAGGGTCACACAGCTAGTAAGTGTCAAGTGTTTGATCTGAGGCCGGATTTGAACTCAGGTCCTCCTGACCTCAGGGCCGATGCTCTATCCACTGCACCACCTAGCTGCCCCTAAACTCAAGTATTCTTGACTTTGATACTGAGACCTCATCTTTAAAAAAAATGTTGCTTCTTGCTAATGGATACAAAATGGTAAAACTCAAATTCAAATTGTCTCTTCCCTTCTTGGCAGCTTTGAGGGGAGGTCTGATGGAGAGGCAAGCTGAAATTATTTGGTGATATCTTATTGATTCTAGTTACTAATTCTCTTCCCTTTCTGCTTCACCATCTACTTCAAAATGTTCTGTTAGACATGGCCAATATCAAAATCTTCTCAGTATACATTAACAACATGTCCTAATGGAGGAGAAGACCTGAACTGCCCTGTCCTGAATTTGCTTTGTCTTTACTCCATAAATGATGGGGTTGAGCATGGGAGGCACCACCACATAGAGGTTGGCCACTAGGATGTGGATGTGCCGGGGAATGGTATTTCCTCCAAAGCGGTGAGCAAAGAAGGAAAAGAAGGCTGGAGTGTAGAACAGGAGGATCACACAGATATGGGAGCCACAGGTGTTAAGAGCCTTAAGCCTGGCAGACCAGGAAGGTATGTTGAAGACAGCATGGAGAATCAACGAATAGGAGACAATGATAAGCAAAACATCCAGACCTGTAGACAACAAGGCCATGGTTAGGCCATAGATGATGTTAACTTTGATGTTGTCACAGGCCAACCTAGCTATGCCCATGTGTTCACAATAGGAGTGGCGAATGATGTTTTGTCCACAGTAAGTAAGCCGGTACACCAGAAAGATGAAAGGAAAGCAGATGAGAAAACTCCTAACCACAACTGCCACCCCAATCTTCCCAATGACTGAAGGGGTAAGAATGGTGGTATATCTTAGTGGGTAACATATAGCCACATAACGATCAAATGCCATGGCCAGCAGAATGCTGATTCTGCCACAAAGATGAGATGGATGAAAAACATTTGAGCCACACAGCTGCCAAAGGAGATAGTACCATAGTGGAACCAGAAAATGGCTAGCATTTTAGGCACTGTGGTTGTGGAGAGCAAGACATCTGCCAGGGCCAGCATAGAGAGAAGCAGGTACATAGGCTCATGGAGGCTGTGTTCAGTGATGATAAGGATGATCAAGAAGCTATTGCCCATAATGGCTGCAAGGTACATGGAACAAATGGGAACAGAGATCCAAGTGTGTGAGTCCTCCAGTCCTGGGATACCAATCAGAATGTACTTGATGTCTTGGAGGTTGGTATTGTTGAATGCAGAGGACACCATATCTTACTGTCTCCTTTTGCTTGGCAGCTGTAATTAAAATAGGATTGAGTGGTATTTTTTATCAAAATTGCTACCTCAGACATGCTTGATTGGTTCCTTCCTGTGGCATGCCCTACTATTTGTGAGGAAAAGAGAAATCAAGGGATTAGTCTGAATATTGTACCTTCTTTACTTGCCTGGCATTTTCTCTCCCCTTAACTTTGTCTCCTGGGTTTCCTCCATTACCAGCTAGAATCCTATCTTCTGCAAGAAGACTTTCCTGATTCTCTTTAATGCTAGTGCTTCTGTCTGTTGATGATTTCCAATTTATTATATATACATATATATGTGTGTGTGTGTGTGTGTGTGTGTATACATATATGTGTATATATATATATATATATATATATATTTTGTTAATAGTTTTTTTGTTTGTTTGTTTTGTATATTGGCTGCCCTCTCCTCATTACACTGTGAACTCCTTGAAAACAAGGACTTTTTTTCCTGCTTGTTTTTATTTTATTTTGCCTTTATTTGTATCTCCAGCATTTAACACTGTGTTTGGCACAGAGCAGGCATTTATTTTTTATATATTATAAAACAAATATTCAAGATTTATTAATATTTATTAACCGACTGCCTGAAAAAGAGAATGTTTTTGGCTGCTATGGGAAATACTGAACTATGACAGTAAAGACAATTCCTATCTCTTCCCTGTTCTCCAGGCAATGGTCCACCATTTTCCCAGTTATATCACTTCTCTGCTTAAAATCACTCCCATGATTCCAAAATCAAAAGATCAAAGAATCTCAGATCTAGAAGAGGTTTTGAATACTACTGAGTTCAGCCTGTACATGAAGATGAATCCCTCTTTCAATAAACTCAAGTGATCATCTAGACTTCTAGGGAAAGGGAACCTTCTGCTCCCCACTTCTACTCCTACACTTTTGGACACTTCTAATAATTAAGAAGTTTTCCCTGACTCAATTCTAATATCTCTTCCATGAGACAGGTCTTCACATATAAATTTTAAGTGTAAACTAGGTGGCTCAATGTATAGATCTCTGTGCCTGAAATCAGGAAGACCAAAATTCATATCAAGCCTCAGACATTTACTAACTGTGTGACTCTGATCAGGTCACTTATTTCCTCAAATATAAAATGAGGATGGGATAATAATCACACTTACCTCCTAGGACTGTTGTAAGGATCAAGTGAGATAGCATTTTTATAATACCGGTTAGGCACTTAATAAATTCTTGTTTCCTTCCTTCCTATTTAGGCTTAAAACTATATTAAGGCTTTGGGGGGACACTGCATTTACAAATAGCTCTCATATTCTCCCACTTCGCCTTCATCCAATTCTTCCCTTCTACAATCTATACAATTTCAATTTTTCTAATCAGTCTTCCCATATTATAAATTCAAGGCCCTTCAATATTCTGTTTAACCTTTCACTCTCCAAGTTATTGGATTTAGTATAATTTTTTTTCAATTATCAAAAATCTATTTTCTCTCTTAACTTCCTCTATTGAGAAGAAAAAAAAATAATGCTTGTAACAACTATGAATTGTGAAGCAAAGCAAATTTCCACAGCGATCATGTCAAAAATACATATGTCTCATTCTGAACCCTGAATTCTTCCTCTCTGTCAGGTGGTAAGTTCCATCCTACATCATTGATTCTATCAAACCATTGGTCATTTTGTTAAACTTAAGTCTTCAAAGTTTCAAAATTTTTAAAGTCTTTCAAAGTTTCCTAGTTTGTTGTAATGGGGCCCTTGCCAATGAAGGCCCAGTATTGGGAGTATGTATAGGTTACCTGCATGGAGGCTGTGTGAGTCTGCATCTGGATGGAAGGTCATAATGATGTGGAATGAAGGGGCCCAGTTCTCAAGTGGTTATAAGTATTCTATTATGATTTCTTGTCCATTTATTGCTGGGTGAATAGGGGACTTTTGATTTGACTGTTAAGTTAGAACTGAGAGTACATACAAAAGATCCCCATAAAGAAATTTGCTTTCCTTCCTTCCTTTGGTACAAGGTCTTATGTGAGTTCAGAAGTTCAGAAGTGTAAAGGAAGGAAGATAAAATAAATAAGATTCTCTAAATCTCAAATACAATCTTACCTACTAATGGCATACTGGGGGAAAGAGTAAGTGGAGATTACTCCCTCCCTCAATAGTCCTATGGAATTCAGAGAATTGTACCTAAAATCTTATGTTCAGCAATTAAAAAAAAAAGTGAATTTTTCCATCAAGTTCTTTTTGATATTCTCTTAGGTCCAGCTCATCAGACAACTAAAAGCATGTCTTCATCACATGGTATGCAGACAGGAAACATTCACTGAATACCTCTGCATGCTCTGAAGTGGAAGGCCAACCCCCCAATTCCACATCATCATGACCCTCCAGAAGTAGGGTCACCCAGCCTTCATGTGGTAGCCTCACACATGCTCCAGGGAAAGGGTCATCATTTACCAATCTCCCATTATAGTATCAAAGTCCTTCATAAAATGTGATGTGATAATGAACTCAATGCTCCAAATATAGTCTGAACAGGGCAGAGTAAAGAGGGACCCTCACCTCCCTATTCCTGAAAACCAGTCTAAGGTAGCATGACATTTTGTTAGATGTCTTGGGCTACCATATCAGACTATTGACTCATTTGGAGGTTTCCACCCTATACCTAAAATTATCTCACAATCTCTTAGACCTTCTTTAAGCATCTCCTGCAGTCTCACAGGGTTACAATAGAAAGAGTTCAAGATGAAGTGTCAAAGGACATGAGTTCATATCCAGCTCAACCACTTCCTAACAGTATGACCTTGGGAAAGTCACTTAATTTCTCTAACCCTCATTTTTTCCTTCTATAAAATGAGAGGGTTGTACTGGGTGAACTCTAAGGATTCTTTGAGTTCTAAAGCTATGATGAAATAAAATGAAAAATCTGAGGGTCATCAGAGATGATTTGATACAATCAGTACTCGAGCAAGAATCCTCTCTACAAAGTCCCCAAATTGTGATCTTCCAGCCTGTGCTTAAATACCTTCATTGTAGGAGATGCTGACTTCACAAAGCAGCCCTGTCACACTGTTAAATATCTTTACTTGTTAGGAAGATCCATTTTTGTTATAAGGACAAAATCTTTCTTCCTGTAATTTTTTTTAAAGCAAGAGATGTTCAATTAAATAGCATAGTAAAATAAGTAACAAGAAAGATTATTTCCATTCCCCATAGCACAAAGGGTATAGTCTCCCACATATCACCATACCACCAGTGGGAGAGGGGACACACAAAGGGAAAATGCATGACCATGGAACATGAGTGGATAGAGAGCACACATAAAGGAGCTCACACATAGAAAATGTGCATGGCCTGGGCTTACACTTCTGACAGACACTTCTGCTTTCCCTGTTACAGAGCCATTGATAACTTCTGGTGATGCCATCAGTTAAGAGACTTACTCCACTGATATGGGGTCCTCTGATGCTCTCATTTTTCTGCTATGCTACTCTTTCCTGGCATTTCCACTACGGTGCTCTGTCCTCTGCTGCTCTGGGCTTTAGCTACTACAGCCTCTTCTCCCATCAGTTCCTGTCAACTCTTATAGCTTACAGCTCAGTAACTATTTAACATTTTTGTGATTTCAAATCACAATCAACTAGAAATAGAAGGCCTTAGGTATTTTTAAGTCTTTCTTTTTCATTTTTTTATCTGCTGTTACTCACTCATGATACAGCAATCTGAGTGATATTCTAAAGTTTCTTTCATTTTCTATTGTACCTCTAAGTTGATAGTAATTTTGACCAGTGCATCCTAGTTCTGCAATCTGCAGTCAGATAGATTAAATCTGTTTTTTAATCCTCATGCAAGCCCTTCAGCTATTTGAAAACAGTGCTCATGTTTTCCCCTCTGCCTTCTCTTCTCCAAAGTAAGCATTTCCATTTACCTCATTGTGCCATGGAACTGATTGCCCATCTCCATTTTCATTGCCTTCCTCTGGATCTGCTCAAACTTGGCACTATTTTTACACAAAGCTTTTTTTTTCATTTTCCTTGCTTCTCTGCCCACCAACTCTTGGGAAGAGGAGAAAGGCAGGATGAACACAGATACACTGCCTTCTCTTCCTCAATTGTTTTCTCCCCCCGCCCAGAATTTCATAATTAGATAAATATAATTAAGGTGGCCATGAATCATGTGTGAAAAAGGCAAAATATCAGTTTTTCCTACTATTGTCAGATGCTTTATTTCCTGTCAGAAGGTACCTCTGTCACTCCCTCTCACCCCAGTTCTCCTATTTCTAATGTGGGTCATTGAATGCCTATGGTCCTCGGTTGCTGTGGAAGGCCAGCCCTCCTCTGGCTTTCCTGTTCCTTGACTGCCACGTTCCTTTTTATTTCTCTCCATCACACCTAAAACAAAGTCTATGACTTCTCCCCACACCTTGCTGCCTGACTAAGAACACATCTCTGAAGAGCAATGGCCTGTCTTGCCTGTATCGTGGGTGAAAAGAGAGTCAGAGTGGTCAGCCCAGGGAGTCAAAAAGGAGAGAATATACAGAAACCAGGGAATGTGTTGTTTATACCCCTTGTCTGGCTCTCCCTCAGGTCCTTACCTTGTCCTAGAGGATTAATCATCTTCATTCTCTCTATTCAGAAATAGATCGTGAAGACATAGTCACGGATATTTAATTCCATAACTATTTTTTTCTCTTTAGCATATTCTTTACATTTCTATATGGTCAGGTTCCACCATAAAGAATGACTTAATAACAATAGATGCTCAGATAAAATATCCCTCCTGACAAATAAACATATTCTCATACCCAAACCACCGCAGGAATAAGGACATCCAATTATTGTTATATGAGAGAGCACACTGGTACACGATGAAAATATGACACACACACACCACTTTACCCCTCCTTTCCAGCCCATCCCCACCAGACAGGATGACTGGAGGAACAGGAAAAATAGCTTTGGGAGGACTGGAGTCATGTGATAAAACATTTTCCCCCAAG